GTTGATTGGATCATCTTCTAACATTCCACTACTTTCCTCATGTTCTTGGAGAAATACAATATAATCATCCGGAATAGCATTTCTCCTTTCTCTCGTGGATCTCCTTAATGGCACTGGTTCTTGAGGTTGTTGAGTTTGTTCTTCTGGAACAGGGAGTTGTTCAACATTATCATCTTGAGGTTCCGGATTTACTTCTTGAGCAACAACAGGTATAGGAACCTGAATATTGTCAAAAGTAACTGTATGGATTGGATCTGAAGCCAATTCCTCCTCAAAACTAATGTCTCTAACCTTATTTCTCCCCCCAAACTCAACATCCTCAAAGAATGTTGCTGTTCCCGTCTCAAAAATGTTCCTTATAGTGGGATCATAAAACTTAAAGCCCCTAGAGCGTTCAGAGTATCCAATAAAGTAGCTGCTAACTGTTTTGGAGTCCAATTTCTTTTCATTTGGCCTATAAGGCCTTGCCTCAGCTGGACATCCCCAAATATGTAAATGCTTTAAACTGGGCTTTCGACCAGTCCAAAGCTCATAAGGTGTTTTAGCAACTGCTTTACTTGGTACTCTATTCAGAATGTAAGCTGCTGTCTTAAGTGCTTCTCCCCAGAGTGACTCTGGTAAAGAAGAATGAGCAATCATACTTCTTACCATATCCTTAAGAGTCCTGTTTCGTCTTTCAGCTACACCATTCATGCTAGGTGAACCCGGCATGGTGTACTGTGGGACGATACCGTATTCCTCTAGGTATCTAGCAAATGGTCCTGGACGTTGTTCACCTGAACCATCATATCTACCGTAGTACTCACCACCACGATCAGATCTGACGGTTTTAATTCTTCTGTTGAGTTGATTCTCAACTTCAGCTTTATAGGCTTTGAACATGTCCAGAGACTCAGATTTTTCATGAATAAGATATAGGTGCCCATAACGTGAGTAATCGTCTATGAATGATATAAAATATTGTTGACCATTCCAGGATTCCGTAGGGAATGGCCCACAAATATCCGTATGTATCAATTCTAAGACATCCGAAGATCTGTTGGCACCTAATCTTTTCACTTTGGTCTGTTTTCCCTTGATACATTCAACACATACGTCGAAGTCCGAAAAATCAAGGGAATCCAAAATGCCATCAGACACAAGACGCTCAATTCTACCTTTTGAGATATGACCTAAGCGCTTATGCCATAATGTCGCCGAATTTTCCTTATTTAATTTACGCTTAGTACCACGTGATTCCACATGCAAGGATTCATTGTAAGAAGCAATTGTATCAAGCAAATATAGGTTGTCATAAATACTCAAGTAACCGGTTCCCACAACATTTGAATTAAAAGATAAACTGAATTGACTGTTTCCAAATGAACAAGAATAACCTGATTTGTCCAATACAGAAACAGAAACCAAATTCCGTCTAAAAGACGGTACTACAAAAGTATCTTTTAAATCCAAATAATAACCAGTTCCTAACAACAACCTAAAGTGCCCAATTGCTTCCACATCTACCGATTGTCCGTCGCCCACAAAGATGTGTCTTTCAACATCACTTGGCTTTCGGTAGCTCAGGCAACCCTGCATAGAAACACTTATGTGAGTAGTAGCACCAGAGTCTAACCACCAAGTGTTTCTAGGTACTGAAGCTAAATTAACCTCAGAACAGACCAAAGCAAGGAACGTACCCTTATTATCACGCCAGGCGTGATATTTTGTACAGTCCTTCTTTACATGTCCAGGCTTCTTACAGAAGAAACAACCCTGATTATCCTTATGTTGTTTCTTCTCAACTGGACCCTTAGCAGCTTCCTTATCATTCTTCCTTTTCTTGCCCTTATCCTTAGAGGCATAGGCCAAATGAGCACTTTCTGTCTTATCTTGCTTCAACCTGTCTTCTTCTTGCACACAGTATGAAATGAGCTCATTTAGAGTCCATTTCTCCTTTTGACAGTTATAACTGACCTTAAATTGGTTAAACTGTGCAGGAAGAGACAACAAAACCAGATGCACTAATAACTCGTCACAAAGATCGAGTTTAAGTGCCTTAAGCTTTGAAGCAATATGAGACATTTCCATAATGTACTCCCTGATATTTCCTTTGCCCTTATACTTCATTGAAATCAAGCGAGCTAAAAGCGTGCTTGTTTCTACCTTATCGTTTTTCGCAAAACGCTTCTCAATTTCGGCAAGGAAATCTTTAGCCTTAGTAATCCCTTCGGATTCTATGCCCCTGAAGGCTTCCGGAACGCCGCGCTTAATGATCATAAGACTCATGCGATTTGAACGCTCCCACTTCTCATGCTCCTTCTTTGCATCAGGAGTGCTATCCGCATTGAGAGGTTGGGGTTGTTCAGTTCTTAATGCATAGTCAAGATCCATGCAGCCAAGAACAATTAATATGTTCTCTTTCCAAACCTTGAAGTTTGTCCCATTTAGCATGGGAATTGAGTTGATGTTAGCAGAAATTGTTGCAGCAGATGCATTAGCTGAAATAAAACAAAAGAATGCTCACATCAATAACCATAATCAATAAAATTCAAATAATGACAATCCCCATCCAAGATACCGGCACAACATTAATATCAAGTCTTTGGACAGTAATATTAACTTGTAAGTGATACCTTGTTGCAATGATCAAACATTGACAATAACTCATGTCAAATAATGAAACTATCTTTGGATCGATTCATTATTCACATGTAAACCTTATAATTGTCACACGCTTATCATCGCAGATGTGTATACAGTCTAAATAAATATTAACCTTCCTTTGGGCCGATTAAATATTTACACGAAAGCATACACACAAACATCTCACATTCCTCATGAACAATCTACACAAGAGAGGTTACTTTGGCAACTTCTTGTTTCAATTAATCAATTGGAGTGAGAGACAACCTTAATACCTTAGTGTCATAATATTTGAATTAAATAATTGATTAAAAAACCGAATTAGATTTAATTAAAAAATTTAAATCAACTGAATTTCCAAAAACTTAATTGGGGTCTCACAGCTTAATTAGGGCCCATAACTTAATTGAATAAATTAAGTATACCAAAGTGGACCCATGAAAAGCCGAGGCTTAACCATAATGAACACGAAGTTCCCTTAACTTCGAACGCGAGGTTCGACTGTATTGAGTACGAGACTCACTTAAGCACGAACGCGAGGTTCGTCTGAAAATGAACGAACGCGAGGTTCGTTTGATAAAAGAACGCGAGGTTCAACTTGGGAACAAACGCGAGGTTCGTTTAAAAATGAACATGAGGTTCGTCTGAAGTTCGAACACGAAGTTTGTCTGAAGTACGAACGCGAGGTTCGTCTGAAGTACGAACGCGAGGTTCGTCTGAAGTACGAACGCGAGGTTCGTCTGAAGTACGAACGCGAGGTTCGTCTGAAGTACGAACGCGAGGTTCGTCTGAAGTTCGAACGCGAGGTTCGTCTGAAGTACGAACGCGAGGTTCGTCTGAAGTACGAACGCGAGGTTCGTCTGAAGTACGAACGCGAGGTTCGTCTGAAGTACGAACGCGAGGTTCGTCTGAAGTACGAACGCGAGGTTCGTCTGAAGTACGAACGCGAGGTTCGTCTGAAGTACGAACGCGAGGTTCGTCTGAAGTACGAACGCGAGGTTCGTCTGAAGTACGAACGCGAGGTTCGTCTGAAGTACGAACGCGAGGTTCGTCTGAAGTACGAACGCGAGGTTCGTCTGAAGTACGAACGCGAGGTTCGTCTGAAGTACGAACGCGAGGTTCGTCTGAAGTACGAACGCGAGGTTCGTCTGAAGTACGAACGCGAGGTTCGTCTGAAGTACGAACGCGAGGTTCGTCTGAAAAATGAACACGAGGTTCATCTGAAGTTCGAACGCGAGGTTCGTCTGAAGTACGAACGCGAGGTTCGTCTGAAGTTCGAACGCGAGGTTCGTCTGAAGTACGAACGCGAGGTTCACCTTAGAACGAACGCGAGGTTCGTTAAAATTGAGCTTGACGCTCACCTGAGTTGAACGCGAGGTTCACCTTAGAACGAACGCGAGGTTCGTTGAAATTGAGCTTGACGCTCACCTGAGTTGAACGCGAGGTTCACCTTAGAACGAACGCGAGGTTCGTTAAAATTGAGCTTGACGCTCACCTGAGTTGAACGCGAGGTTCACCTTAGAACGAACGCGAGGTTCGTTGAGCGCGAAGCTCGGTTAAAATTGAACGAACGCGAGGTTCGTTTGAGGTAACCACCTCCTTAATTTTCGCCATGAACCCTTAGGGTTTCAAACTGAAACCGCCGCCGCCAATACCCAAAAAATCTTTGATTTTTATTTTCAAAACAGATCCAGAATTGGAAAAAATTGAAGAAAAAATCAAAGAAAAATCCAAAACCCCAAAAATTTACTGTTCATCCGAAATCTGTTCGTTACTGTTCATCCGAACCCAAAAAAAATTTACTGTTCATCCGAACCCCAAAAAATTTACTGTTCATCCAAACCCAAAAATTGAATCTTTAACCAGAGATTTAAGATCAAAAACCCAATAAAACTTAAATCCCTAAGAATTAATCAAGGTGGCTCTGATACCACTTGTTAGATCTACATCATAAACTTGAGATCTAAAACCATATAGTCATGATTAATTCAAAGAGATTAACAAGGATCTAAAAGAGCGGAAGCTTATACCTGAATCCATTGCTTGATCTTGATTTTGGGTTTTGGATCTTCTAACCTTAGGGTTCTCTCTAGCCGAATTTCTCTCTAGATGGGGGTGAAGAGAATTAGAGAATGTAACCCTAGGTTAGGGACCATAACCCCTTATTTATAGATGTTGTACTTTTGTAATTTAGCCCCTCAATAAATTACAATTACAACCTGGTATCTGCACATATAACCCCATGACTTATTTAAATACCAAATTAACCCAACTTAATTGATCACTTTAGTGGGTTATCCTGAAAGATAGCAATACACATTGATTAATCATATGTGCCCACAAATAGATTTATTAGATTAAATCCAACATGTTGATCTATGTTTTTTTTTTTTCTTTAGTTTTGAATATTCTGGTTAGAAGCCATTAGATAATCAACACATCATTTTATTAGCATAATCCGGGTAGTAGCAGGTAAAGTGGTAATTTCCTCTTTCTATTACGATGGTTGATAGGAGGTTTCAAATTTGTGATGAATCTGGTGGTCATAATTGGTAAGGAAAACTTTTGGTAAGAATTATGGTCGGTCTCCTTCACCGCAGAAACCGCGGAGCACCAATTCTGTTCTTCCGTTCTTGACCGTCACGGCAATTGCATTGCTTATTTATGCACCATAAAGGTGTGCAGTGCACAGTACAAGTGTGCCTGCTATCATTAAGTTATATAGGGAGATACCTCTTTCCTCCCTCAAAATTCCTGGTGCTATATGATAACTTTTCAGGGAGATAAACAGGTATTTCCTCTATCTTCTGACTTCAAGTATGCTTACTTCTACTGTGACTAAAACTTCTTTTTTTATGATTTTAAAGGCTAAATCAAAAATTTCCGGTAGTCAGGAGCTATCATGGGGTATTTTCTCTATTATATATTTCTCCCATCATGCTATATATTTTAAAATTTTCCCTGGTAAGGGGGTGGTAAATATGTTTTTCCTTCGAGTAATCCGGCACAAACATCGTTTTTTTCTGCAACTCCAATTGATATGGTGGTGACGAGTCTTGCATGGCGAAGCTGTACACCTTTGAAGGTGAGCACGGCTAGTGAGGCATGATGCCTGTCTGTCGTGCCATTTAGAATATGACACATTATTAGACTGCTTACATTAATGTTTTGATCATTTTCTGTTGTATTCTCATCCTGCATACTTCTAACAACTATTATTCTTGGTGGGATTTTTCAGGTCAGGTTGATTACCGACAAGGAGACAAATAAACCTCGAGGATATATATATATGCTTTTATCGAATATGCACACACGATCGAGAGACATGAAAAGTGTGTCACTATTATTGTATTTTTGACCCTGGTGTTTTTAAGTGTTCCATTAAGTGCCACTAAATTAAATATGTTTTACATTCTACAGCTGCATATAAACAAGCTGATGGGAGGAAGTTGGATAATAATTAAAGGAGTTCTTGTGGATGTTGAGCGTGGTAGAACTTGAATATGCATCTTAATTGGGTTAAAAATGGTTCCCAATCTTTGCTTGCTGATTGTTGGTGGACCGTTCAAAGCCTTGGTTTGTGTTTTGTTGAACTTGAATATGCAGACTGTATCTTAGATGAAGGGATATGTACGTAGTTTTCGTGATGTGATTTGGGGCTTAATTTCTACTGTTGAAGTTGTTTGTAGACTGCAATGACTTGTTGGTGTTTGATCTGGAAACCATTGAATTGTGCCATAAGTAGATAATTATTCTGGTTTCATAAATAATAGTTTGATTTCCGCTTTCCTTCCTTGATGGGAACATGTTCAATCCATATGGATCGATGACTTGGATTTACACCATTTTGTGAAAGATCGCTTGCATATTTTCTCATGTAATTTATTGAAATTGCATCTTTAAATGCATAATCTTCATGAACATTTATATTTCTTAATTTTTACGAATTATAAATACTATAAGAAGATAAATTAAGTGTGAATTTCTACTGTGCTATTAAATAATATTATCTATCTATACTAATTAATATTTAAAAAACTTTGTCGGGGCAACAGATGTTGAAGGAATGACGATGTTTCCTTCAATTTGTTGAAACGTGGAAGGTCATTTTGTTAAAGTTTAGGGGTAATTTTGCGAATTCAATTTAATCACTATACAAATGGGTTCCGCCTGCCACTTTCGCTCTCTTTAGAGCTGTCCAATTTTTACCCACGATTTCTTCTCCAGGTCAATTTATTTAACAGTTTCGTTAGTCTCTTCCTCAATTCTCCTCTTTTTCTCTCTCTATATGATAAACATGTAATTAAATTTATGTTACTACTATGTATAAGCCGTGAGAGTAGTCAAAAGTGAAAGAATGAGCAGCTATTTCTTCACTTTTTAGTAAAGAATATTTGGGTCATTTTAGTAAAAGATAAGCGTAATTCGATTTTTTTATCGTTATTTATTGATGTGAGTCCCATATTTCTCTTCTCTATCTCTCACTCTCTCTGAATTCTGAAAGGTTCTATGACTTTCCTTTCTCCATCTTTCTCTTTAATTCAATATTTCATACATAACTCTTTTAAAGATAATATAATCGAAATTATACATAACTTTAATTTTTACATAATTCTCTAAGTTGTTTGGTGGATTTTTTAAAATATTATTTTGCTTCTATTTTGATGTGGAAATCACGAAAAATATACTAAAAGTTTTGGAAAGAAGGAGGTGCATAGTTTTCTTTTAATGACTTAATTAATAAGAGACTATGTACAATTGGTGGATAATTAATTACAACTAATGAATATAATTGGAAATTATCAAAATTAAGAGGATAAAAGAGACAATCAAAAGTTTTAGAGTAACATCTTCTTTTGTAAGTAGTATAGATATAGACTTGTTTCCTTAGAAAAATAAGAAAGCAACTCTAATGAAAGCATAATAAAAATTTAAAGTATACCAAGGAGTTTTGAGTGTTTAGATATAACAGTTTTTGAGTGTTTAGATAATTAGTGACTATTAATTATGATTAGTATTAATGTTGATAGTTATCTATTACTAATTTCTATTACGGAATAACATCACCAATTTAATATTTAAATATCCTCATATTTATGTATATTTAAACATATATGTGTGTATATGTGTGTATATACACATACACACACATATCTATAGACATACGTGTGTTGTAATGTTTTAAAAAACCTCCGCCTAACCAGCCTAGGTTGTACGTTGGTCGCCTTATTTAGCGTCTAGCAACTAGACAGTGTCTAGGCCTCCCATCTGGGTTTTGGGAGTGCCTGTGTGGTTTGCCTACATGGATTGTACCTTTTAAGCATTAATCATGATTTCCTTCACTGTAGCCTCTACATCCTCCAACCTCCTCCGACTATGAACATCTCTACCTCTCCTCACATTCAACAAAACCTCCTCTACCACCACCTAAGAAATCTAACTAAGAAATCTAACTAGGAGTCAATCCAGCACCTAAGCTTTCCATAACATTGGCATTGACTATCAGAAATTGTAATTAAAAACTAAGAAATAGGAAAACTCCTAGGCCCCACCTAGGCGCCAAGGCTTCACGCGTCAATGTCCAACACCTAGACCGCCTAGCACTTCTTATAACCTTGTGTGCATGTATGTATGTATTAAAATCCTTAAAATTTATCATAGACTTCTAATACGTCAGCATTAAACTTATTTGATATTATAATATCAAATAACTATTCCATAGTAGAATAATATTATATCAGTTATTTAATTGGTTTAATTTAAAACTTATTTATATATTATTGGTCTTTTAATATGAGACTCTGATACTTATTTATGAATATAATATTTAAATGTTTTCATCTTCACCATTGTTGGATATCAATGAATGTATTCACTAGTAGAAAAACATGCAACGTAGACGGATCAAACTAGACGGAAAAACTTCCGTTTAGTTAATTCTGTCTATGTTGACAACCTAGACGGAATGGGCATCCGGAAACTTTGAAGTCATCAGAAAGGAGTTTCCCTTTGATTGGAGGTGACGAATGAAATCTTGGAATTCATGAATTTGTTCATTTATAGGTTTGTCATCAACTATCATGAACTTATTGAAGGAAGATGATGTGAAATGTAGAATTCCGGGATCATCAAAGTCATATTCTGTTTCAAAAGCATTCCATAGATCCTTAACACTTTTTAACTCATAATATATGGCATAAAGGTTGTCCGCAAGTGCACTAAGGATCCTATGGCAGCAATGATAGTTTATTTCTTCTGGCTTCATAGAACTAGAGAAAGAACTAGCGCCAGAAGCAGAAGTGGAAGGAGTACATTGTTTAGGATCAGGAGAGTTGGAGGTCAAAGGTTGAGAACCAAAGGATGAAGATTCGGGAGTGTCAATTGCATATAACAGACCTAGAGTAGTGAGCCAGTATCTCATCTGGTTAGCCCACCGTTTGTAGTTAACACCAGTGAACTTCTCAGGTTTGGCACTTTTGGAATGATCAATGTTTGCCATAAGTTTGACTCAAGTTAACTAGTCTAGGTATTTTGAAATCTGATAGGAATGAAAGTTTTGTCAATACCACTCAACTAGTTACTTAGGAGTATGACTTGATTCAAGATTATTTATGAACTTGTAATATTAACCAGTAAATATGAAACCGAACAAAATAATTTTAAAACAGTAATTAGCAAGAACAATTTAACCAATAATTCTAAAATAAATTCTCGGATTAATTTTGTAACAGTAACATAAAACAATTATCTTATTTCAGAATAATTTTTTATAACAAATTAACAATTAATTACTAATTAAAATAATTAACTATAGCAAATTAACTGTAATATTTAGCAATAATTTGCAGTAATTATTTAAGCAAAATTAACATTAATTAAATAAGCAATTAACAGTAATTGAATAATTACAGTAATTAACAATGAACAATTATTCACAATAATTATATCAGATGAGCAAATTATAATTTCGGATTAATTACAAATTGAAATTGAGCAGAAATAATTATCAGCAATTAATTGCAGATTAAAATTATTTTGGATTTCAAAATTAACAGCTATAATAACTTAATCTTCTAGATTGTTAACAAAAAATCAAATGAAGTTATAGCATGCAAATAAATCTTAAATAAACGGAACAAAAAAATCTGGCATGATCGGGTAGCAGTCGTGCAATTGCTGCACTGCATTAGAAGAATAAAGACTCGTCTATCGCCCTGACGCAGATGATCCTCTCTCACCTAGCGATAAAAACCTCCGGAAATGGCCGACCTCTATATTCGGGTGAGAGTATAGAGCTTCTGCTCGGATGAAGAAGATTGTCCAATAAAAAGTAAACTGTAACAAAGAATTTATGAAAGAAAATTTTCGGAGGCAGAAGAGAGAGGAATTTGTTTTCGTTGTTGTGTTTTCCGAATAGAGCCTTGGGCTGTATTTATAGAGTGAGAGTCTCAAAGCCGTTGTGCATGTTCTCAAAATTCCCGCAATCGTCTTGCACGTTCTCAAAAAACTCCGCAACCGTTACGCACGTTTTCCAAGTTCTAATTGCCTAGTCAAAAGAAACTTGTAAAATAAAGTTGAAAATTTCAAAACATGGCGGGCGTACACGCGCATGCAAGCCAAAACACAAACAAATGAAAGCCCAAAACACCCCCTTTAGGGACCCTCAAAGCCCAAAGAAAGGAGAACCAATTTAAACACTCAACTATTCACTAACTTAGTCCACGTGAAGGCAAAATTATCTTTTCTCATCTACAAGATCAACAATTCTGAGGCTGTTTTGTCCAAGAGTAGGGTGACAATGTTCACGATGCATGCTTTAGTCAAAGTGAGAACATTCTGAGGCTGTTTTGTCCAAGAGTAGGGTGACAATGTTCACGATGCATGCTTTAGTCAAAGTGAGAACAAAGAGGGGGCTCAACGATTTACCTTGAAAAGACAATGTTCACGATGCATGCTTTAGTCAAAGTGAGAACAAAGAGGGGGCTCAACGATTTACCTTGAAAATATCCTCATTCCTAGCCTTCCAACAGAGCCAAGAGATGATTGTTGCAAAAGCAACAACATAGATTTCATGTATTTGGGAGTTGAAAGGAGCAATCATTCAATGGGTAAGCCATGGGGCAAGAGCTAATGGAGTCGGAAAATCATGATCAGTATTTGCAACCAAATGGAGCAGGCAAATTGACATGTAACACGAAGATGATCGATAGTTTCACTCGACTCCACCACACAAGAGGGCAAATGTGGTCGACAAGGACTCCAATCTCCAATAATGTGTCCTTGCTCAGCAAGCCATTGCTAAGTGATTTCCAAATGAACAATTTGACACGGGATGGGATGGTTTTAAGCTGAGAGCTTCAGCGTCACCTTCAAAACCGATGGGGGAGTAGCCTGAGAATGCAATTGTTTGCGTCGAAAATTGATGTATTCATTACGGTATTCATTACAACTTCAGTCGTTACAATGAAAACAAAAAGATAGTCTTTTTATAAGACTTTTACACAATGAAAACGAAAAATACAATTCTCGTCAAACAAACGCAGAGATCGTTTATCGGTCTTCTGCTTGCGTGAGATCTTTGCCTGTGCCGGGGATTTTGATATCCGTGGACCGCCTTTGATCTGGATCCGGTTGATAGAAAATTCGGCAGAGCTTCGCCTTCACCGAGGAAGTATTTGATTTGAAGCGTCGGCAGAGCTTCGCCTTCACCGAGGAAGTATTTGATTTGAAGCGCTGAGATCGACCAAGCGAAATCAGAACTCTTCTCGAGATCAAGACCAAGCCGAAGCGCTGAGATCGACCAAGCGAAATCAGAACTCTTCTCGAGATCAAGACCAAGCCTGATCTCAAGGAATGGACGGGCACGGGCTTCGGATCTCTCGAACTCTCCTTCTTTATGCTGAAGAACTCGCCAAGATCTGTCCACCCTCGCTGAAATTCGTTCTCCTTTGACTCCTCAATCCGGCAGCACCTCCTCGTCTTGATAATTAATTCCCCCGAGAAATGAGCACCCGAGCTCCTATTTATAAGCTTCGGAAACGGTTATTTGGATGAGAATGAATGATCCGTCCTTATCTTCAGTTAATAACTGATTAACCATGTTAGGAGATGATATAATATCAGTTTGGATGCTCACAAACGACCAAATCCCGAGAAAAACCGTCAAAAACCGATCGAAAACCGTCAAACACACGTCCCGAGTGCGAGACGGTTCGGGGTGCGAGACAGTTTGTACCCTATTTAGTATTTTGGCTCTAATTCTTTCATCCGATCTCCGAATGAGGTGATTCAAGTTGTGTTAGAAAGATAACAAAAAGATATACAACTTTTATTTTTTAAGATTCTTCAGATTCAATTCGAATCATGGTCAAAACATCTCCACAATGTCTGAGACACTTGTGAGTGTCTCGAGTATTTTGGTCATAACTTCCTCATATGACCTCCAAATGACCTGATCCAAGATGTATTGAAAAGATAATGAAGAGATCTATAACTTTTAGCTTTTAATATTCTTCAGGTTTGAATCGGATCATAGCCAAAATTGTTATTCTTCTCCGAGACACCAACACTGTCTCGGAGTTTGTAATATCTTTGGTATTTTGGCTTTATATTTCTCATATGATCTCCAAATGACCTGATCCAAGATGTATTGGAAAGCTAACGAGGAGATCTCCAAGCTCCAATGATTGAATCTTCTGTGGAGTGGATGGGACATGGAAAGCATTTTGTTTTTTTGTAAATGACACGGAGCTCCCGATCAGTTCATTTCCTCGTTGTTCTGCAGTTCTGTTGCTTCATAGTCCGTCGAATCACTTCATGCGTTTGTCGACGTTGATCAAACTTCTGTGACTCGGATAGTGACATTCATCGTCTCCTCCCAGCTTCGAGCTTTTCGTGGAGACCTTTAGGCGATTTTCGACGCCTACAGCAACTTCAACCAAAGAAGATTATAGATGGCATACGATCGATCAAAGCAAGCAAGGTGGACCATTACAATTAACAGGAGTGCGAGGGACGTTTCCGAAAACTAACGGTTTGGGTGCAGTATGGCAATTTCAGTGAACTATATTCTGAGAAATCAAAAGTTTTAACACCCAATACTTTTAAAAGCGGTATATAGATGTAGATATTAAACCTTGCGGACTACGACCAGATCCAATTTTGCAGCCATTATCAACAACTCTTATAGATGTAGATATTAAACCTTGCGGACTACGACCAGATCCAATTTTGCAGCCATTATCAACAACTCTGTTGGCGATGATGAAGTGTTCTGCTATCATCTGGATTTACGCAGCAGCTTTTAGCCTCCCAAGTTTGGTTCCGCGTTCAAAATATTCAAAGAAATAACATCACGCTTAAAGAAACAGAACAGTTTTGGAGAAATTTTTAGGTCCTTGTATCATGGTTAGGGTATGTAACCATCAACGTGGATTTTTCGAAGGCTCTGCTTATATCGATGTCACTACTCCTCAATAGAGGAAAACTAATTAACAGCAAAATAATCCAACAGCACAAAAGAAGGTACCACCAATTACTAACACGTTTGTTTTCCCCTTTCCGTGAATTTACTGATCAAACTCACAAGAGTACCAACATTAATCCATGGCGATCCCCAAACTATTTACTCACAAGTCCATAACCAAAGTTTTGATAGTTAATCTCTCCTACATAGAAGAGACGCTACAAATTTCGCTTTCCTAATCAAACCCCAGTTGATCCAAACCCTCCAGCACCCCTGGCGGTCGAATCCAGGTCCTCGACCTCGACAACATCCGGCGTCATGATCCTCTCAATGATGAACTGGGCAATCCTATCACCAGCCTTCACCTCAAAGTCCACGTCCGAGAAGTTGAACAGAATGACACCCAACGGCCCGCGGTAGTCCGCATCGATCACTCCCGCTCCGACATCAATCGAGTGCTTCCACGCTAAACCAGATCTCGGCGCTAAAATCACAAACAAAACAATGTAAGGAACCTCTTTTACCCGCTTCATCAAACACTTGACAGGCACCCAAAAAATCACAAACAAAACAATGTAAGGAACCTCTTTTACCCGCTTCATCAAACACTTGACAGGCACCCAAAAAATAACAAAAATTAAATAAACTTACCGACGCGAGCGTAGGTTCCCTCGGGGATAGAGATGCTGAGATCGGTAGGGACGAGGGCTTTTCCTCGAGCAGGAACTTTCGTTGCCACAGCGCTGAAATTATAACATAAAAAGGGGGTGAAATATTAGAAAAAATTAGTAATGAAGAGGGTTTTGTTTCTGGATTGAAAATAGAGACCTGGAGAGGTCATAGCCAGCGGAGAGAGGAGAGGCTCGAGAGGGCAGGATGGCGTTTTCAGAGAGTTTCTTGATCTTGAGCAGAGGTGGGTTTTCTTTGGCGACGTGAGAGGGGTGACGTGAGAGGGCGCTTGGGCGCTCGGGCTGTTTTCTTTGGCGACGCCATTGGTGACGTGGGAGAGCTTGGGGAGCTTGGGAGAGGGCGCTTGGGCGCTCGGGCTGTTGGTGGGTGATGACATTTTCTTTTTCTGGGAGAAGAGTTGATGAGACTTGAGAGAAATTGGGGAGAGGGAGGTGGAGGGTTTTTAATGGGCGAAAGGACGGGAAATTGATGGCGGGAAGTCTTCCCGCCACCAAACTTTGCATTTCACTTCAAAAAAAAAAAAGCTGTCTCCCGGCTCCAATAGTAATCACCGAGTCGCGGAAAAGCCGGTATAAATTTATAAGAGCAAACTACAGATAACCCCTTGATCTGTACATTTAGTTGCACGCGTTATGCCTCAACTATTTTAGAATCACCTAGCAACCGTAGATTTATGAGAGAGAGAGAGGGGTTTATCTGCGAATTCTTTGTTCCCAAAATGTGATCAAGTGATGTTGGGCATAGGGAGGGCGCACTATATGCACCCTTCGTAAATAATACAAATAGATTCAAATCTTACTTTGTACTCATGTGCTTAGGGGGTGTTTGGTTCAATTTTTATAAATTATAGAAAAAAGAAAACACTCAAAATATAGATTTTCTTGTATTTCTATAAATTTTGTAGGAAAAATTTATAGAACTCAAAGAGTATCGTATTTCTTATTTTTTGCTATTTCTTTGTTTGGTTCAAAGTATGAAAAAGTTTTTAACTTTATAGAAAATATATGCGTTTTTTTTCTTTTGTTTGGTTGCATATCACTTTATAGAAAATAGCTTACTAACAATGCCCATCAGAAATCACATGGGAACGGTACTAGTGTACTTAATTAAATTTTTAATATATGTGTCAGATTTCCTTGTATTTTCTGCCCATTTTTAGTGGAAAAGGATTTCTGTATAGTTTTACAGATTTCTGTATTTTACAGAAAACTTTTCTGTAAATTCAATTTTGAACCAAACACATTTTTTGGAAATCTACAGAAATCTATTATTTACAATAACGCCGTTGTCAGGTGTTTTCTCAAAACTTTTCCAAAAAAATAGGTGAACCAAACACCCCCTTAGGGGTGGAAATGAGCCAACTAATTAATAAATTGTTCGGTTATTATGTGTTCAAATATACAGTCATATTCGATTCGATAGTTCATTTAATTGTAAAAGAATATTTTTTAATATTTGACTCATAAACGAATAAAATTTAACCAAAAGTATATTCGATTCGGTTGATTATTAATGTTTATGTTTTATATTTTATTCGTCTAAGTTTAATTTATCATAGAATATTTATCTTTTAAAGTTATACTTGAGATATTCACAATGTCGACATATATCATAATACAATATCTAATAGAAATAAATTCTTATGCAAATTTTAGCTTAGATTACATTCTTAAGTTGCTAAAAAAGTTTGATAGAAAATGAAATAATGTAGATCTAAAATCTATAATGAGATGTTTTCTTGCTTCTACATTAGTACATTATACTAATTTTTATGTTCATATTACTATTGATAATTACATAAATTAATAATTTATAAATATATAAATTTAATAATTTTAGTTATAACACATCATAATAACCAACATAGGACTCGAAAACCTAACCTCAGAGTAAAGAATCAAATGCCTTGACTAAGTGTGCTAATAAATATGCATAAATATTTACCGAATATCTAGTTATTATACCAAATCGAATTTGAACACCTACCCGCTCAATATGAATTCGAACTCGCTGGAATAAACCAACTTCAAATTCAAAATTCGATTCGAACACCTCCCCGATCAACATGAATTCGAACTCGCTGGAATAACCAACTTCAAATTCAAAATTCGATTCGTTTCCACCCCTTGATCTGCTTAGTTCCTGAATTATAATATTTTCCCTTGCTAGGATACAAACCACAAACAAAGAATAAGGCTCCACAAAGATCGACAAGCACGCTATTAAATATTAACTTAAGACTCGGGAATCCAATATCATTTCATGATCAGCAAATAATAGTGTCCATAAGTTATAACTTCACCAAGGTTGCAAACAGTTGTAGTACATACATGGATACATGGAAACAGACACTTGGAAAATGGTTTCACAAGGAAAAGGGTTGCACATTTAAAATGATACAAAATGACACAGCAAATACAAGCTTTACGAGCAGCCTCCTTTGATTCTCCGTAGACTTGTTTTTTGAACTGGATGATTTGTATATAAATGGTTCCATTACGCAAGCACTAGCTGTAATATGCTTCGGGAGAGTACAGAGAACACCACACGCCAAACAACCGAACGCCGAGAATGTACATTTTAGATCACCTTTCTGTGTCCGCCAAAGGCCCAAATCTGCTGAACAGAAAGAAACTAAAAATTAAACAAAAGAGAAAACAGGGTGTTTGATATAACATGGACGAAAGGCTGAAAATGTATCGACTATAAGAGTTTTATAGCTTGATTTTTTTTTATCAGGCTGATGTAAGATTTTACGAGGTCTTATGAAAGTTGAATAAGGTATATATTAAATGCAAGAAGATTTTGATGCTCCTTAATTTAGATACACACAGAAGGGAAGGGAACAAGAGGGGAACTGACATTAGGAATCTGATAATCTTAGGTACCCTCTTAGCAACATCGATAAGGGTAGTTACTCTGGTAGCATTGCAACTAACAAAGTCCAGTTATTCGTTATTCAACAAGGAGGCAAGAGGCGCTGATTCCTACTTCATGCAAAAGTATCTGATAACTCACTAGATGGAAGAAACTAGATAGCCTAATATTTGCAACGTTC